AGCTTCTCTTCTCCCAAAAGTCCACCGTCTTGGGGACGTCTGGGGGCCCAGTGTAGGCAGAGGGGCCTCCGCTTGCTGCCCAGGCGGGTCGTCCCTCTTGCAGCGCTTCGTTTGTGAGAAAGAAGGGGCAAATTTTGTTTACTTGCACCATGGTAGAGCCCTGGTTGTCAGCTGGAATGGGGGGATGTTTTGGGCCAGGGGCACAGGGGCGCGTCAGGGGAGAGGCAGTCCCTTGGCCGGGTTGTTCATACCCCAGGTAGGTGAGAGAGCGGATGCAGGAGCGCAGAGAAGAGGCTGGATCCATGTTATTCTGGGCCGGGGTCTCTATCGCTGCCCGATGCCAGCAGAGCAGTCAGGAGTCCGGGCGCTTTATGGGGCAGCTTTCAGCTCCTGGCAAGGCTGCGTAGAAAACTTAACAGCTGTTGATGCTTCCAAACGTTTAAGAGCAGTTGTATGTATGTGTAAATCTTGCATCCTGAATTTAGGTCCTCTGGCCCCTTTTGAAGTGAATGCTTTGACTTCCCTAGCTTCTAACAACAGTGGCAATATGGTTATTGACAAACCAATGTGGCTTTATTAAGTAGATTCACAACTTAATTTATCTTTTTTAAAACTTGCAAAGGAAATCCTGTCCTCTGAACAATGAAGATCTTAGACCCTGGCTAACTCTTAGATGCGCAAACTGTGAATCCCTCCTCGCTCTTCTGAAGCAGATGCTGAAGTTCTTTAGAAGGATCTTCTCTATTCACATACGGTGCCTGCGTGAGAGCAGAGAAAGCTCCCAACGATCTTGTGAGTATCAACTCGGCTGTGGATTTTAGTCCAAGCTTTTGTTTATGGCTGTGTTAAGCTGCTGGCTGCGGGTTTCGGTCCACTCTGTTACTTGTGCCAGAGAAGCTGTTGGATCAAGGAGCTGTGTCTCCTGTGTGCTCCCGGGGGGCTCCTCAGACATGCGATCTGGTGGTCGCAGAAACATCAGCTGTGATGGGAAGGGGCCAAGCTCAGTGTTTGGGCTGGAGGTGTCTCTGAGGTCTGATGCAGCTGGGGGTTTGTGCAATGTCAGGCAAGTGGTTTAACCTCTGAGCCTGCAGGTCGTTTTCTGTAGAGCTGAGATAATGCTCTTCTGTATGTCCAAAATGCTCTGAAATTTCAGAGTATTGTATATTGTTACATAAATGATTGTTACTGTGCAATGCATATGTTAGATCTCTTGATGAGGCCTCAGTATTAAGAGAAACATCCCAGTAAGCAGTTCTGTGCTTAGATCAGCTCAAATGTTTTTGCTTTGTTTTTACCTTTTGAACTGCATTACAAAAATGATGAAGCTGAGGAAAAAACCCTGTTGTTCTGAAGTGAAAGCAATCAAAACTCTCCACTGATGCCAAGTCTAGGGAGCTCTGCCTGCTCAGCGCTGAAGTTGGAGCATCTGGGGCTTTTATATTTAACCTATTGTCCAGGAATGTGCAAAGGGAGCTCCTGGGACATGCACTACTTAGGAATTTTTATAACCTAATGGAGCCAAAATATTCCTGGAAAGCAGTGGTGTGCAGTAAACTGCCTGGTTTTCAGTCTATGCCTGTTTCTTTGTGGGGGCAACATTACTATTTGCTTTTTAAAACGGGGAAAAAGAGGCAATGCTCTAATAAGGTAGGACAGATTTATTTATTCATGCTTGAGGTGCCCTATAGAAAGTAGAGCAGCAGGGACAGTCCAAAAACGCTTAAGCTATGGCTGGGCTCTCACTGCTTATTAATTAGCCTAATTAGTATTTAAAAGTATCTCTTGGGGGTGAAAGCCGTGTTAGCCAAGAGGCTTAGAAACCGTGGACAATTTAGGGGCCCACCATAGTCTGGGATAAAAGCAGCAGCAATAGAAGTGGAGAGTGAGCGCCTTGACCTGACTTCCCTCACCATCGCTCAGTGCTGAGCTTTCTTCATAACAGGGAGATTTAACGTGCCAAACCCCACGTGTTGGATCGGTGGAGCTAAAGTGTGACCCTGTAAAAAGTTTACTCCTGCGTGCAGACCTTGGGCAGTTGTGTTAGTACAGTGGCAATGAGAAAAACAGTTGAGCGGATAGTCTGCTGTAGGATTTCTGTAGTAGGGCTTTGTACAGGTTTTGTTCCTGCGAGGAGTGATTTGAGACCGACTTGTTGACAAGATCTTTTCTTTAATCCAGATGAAGACATTGGTTTTGCTAGGGAAGTTCTTAAGGTAACAGCCTTAGCATGACTAGCAAAAATCATCAGTGTTAGTAACGCTGTCATTGCTAAATCCTCTGCATTTGAATAGCATTGAATAATCTGGAGTCTGAATTGGCAGCTTGCATAACGATTGATTGCTTGTCATCTCCTCCTGGGCACGGTGTGTTTTGAAATGGATAAGTGCTGTCAGGACCCAGCTTAATCCTAAGGAATGCAAGACAAAGGGGAAGTTGTTTAAAAGAAGATACTTTCCCTTTGGAGCCGGTCAGCTGGCTCCTCCTACGGCTGTGCTGCTCATTTATTGCTCTGGAGCAGTGGCTCTGGAGGAAACCTCTTCTGAAGGTTATACAAGGATTTTGATGTCTTACAAATAGTCCTTTTAAAACATATCTCTTCTGATTCAAGCATCTAATGAAAGGAAGCAGCAAGCTAGAGTAGTTGGAGAACCCTGAAATGCAGGCTGGATTCCCTATCTATGCTACAAGTGAGAACAGCGTGAGTCCTAATGCAAAATATTTCTGTAAATAATTGAAATGTTGACTTTGAGAATCACTGAATTTGAATGTTAGGTCCTTCTCTGCTGATCAACGGCTTGCTAAGGTGAGACTGGTGATGAATGCTTTATTTGACTTGAGACCTTCTTGTTCTTCAGGTGCCAGAGCGGTGAGCCATGCTGGGCCGGAAAACAGGACTCCCCCGCGACCTGAACAGCCACCGCCAGCTGAACCAGTCCTACCAGGAGGCTGTGCCCCTGCGGACCAGACCATCCAAGGAGACAGATGTCAGTTTGGAGGTGTTCAGCGGCTCTACGCCTGAAATCAAACAGAGCCGCAGCAGAGCCCAGCAGATGCGGGATAGGAAAGGTCGCAAAGTTGACCTCAAAGACTCTAACGGGAGAGAGGCAGAAACAATTACCTTTATTTCTGGTACAGCAGAGGCTCCCCCAAACCAGAGCTTTTGCTGTTCCTCTCTGTCGCAGGCCTGGAACACGTACAAAGCTGTTTTCTGTTGTATAGTGACCTGTGGGGGCTGCTTTCAGGACTGCAGTGTCTGTATCTCCTATCCGGGGCCTGCCGAGACCTCGACTGATGACGGAAAGAACGGAGATTATAATGGGCGACTGCCAAACAGCCCTGCCAATACTTCTCCTGCTGAGAAGAATGGGAACCAGATCAAAAAGTCCAGCATGGGTAGCAGTTTCAGTTACCCAGATGTGAAACTCAAGGGCATCCCTGTCTATCAAAACAGGAGCCCCAGCCACCACCTGGAGTCAGATTCATGCTGCAAAGAGCTGCTGCCAGAGAAGCCCTTCAGGAACAGCATAGAAAAGCCACCGCTCCCCAGCAGCCACCGGAGTTCGGAGGAGTATTACTCCTTCCACGAGTCCGACCTGGACATCAGTGAGCTGAACGGCTCCATGTCCAGCAGGGAGATCGATGTCCTGATCTTCAAGAAACTGACGGAGCTTTTCAGCGTCCACCAGATCGATGAGCTGGCCAAGTGCACGTCAGACACTGTCTTCCTGGAGAAGACCAACAAGATCTCGGACCTCATCAATAGCATAACTCAGGACTACAACCTGGATGAGCAGGATGCTGAATGCAGGCTGGTCCGAGGCATCATACGCATCAGCACCCGGAAAAGCAGGGTCCGGCCCCATATTTCTATCCCAGCCAGCCAGAGCCACGAGGAGAAGTCCAGCAGAGGCAATGCACCAGACAGTGGTAATGAAACGATGCTAGAGTCCATGGTCATCAGCCAAGACGGTACGTGCAGGCTCCTTGGTGTTACCGCTTCAGTAAGAGAGGGTTATTTTATCAAAGCCGTGGAGATGTGGCAATGGAGCAGGGTTGAAAGCTGATGTCTGTCTTCAGGCTGGGCTTCTTTTCCTGGGATGTGTGAATGGAGGTCCTTAGGTACTACTGGAGACCTCTGCTTCTCACCAGTCACTGTGTTGTGGCTTTCTTGATAGTATCTTTCATTGTTAGCGAAGTTTACGCTGAGCAATATAAGGGCTTATTCTGCTGCTACTGCAATGATTCTGGCTTTCCTCTGCACCTCTAAGCTAGGCAGAAAGACCATGAGTCAAACTTAACTGGTATGACCAGACGAGCTGGCTTGTGCCAGAGGATGTCCAGTTACTAAGCTGGCTCTCCTCCTCACCAGCTCTCTGTGCTGATGCCACCCTTAGACAACTGTGACAGAGTGCCTCCTTGGAGCTGAGATTTCCTCTACACAGTGGGGTGAGGAGCAGCCAGTAAATATCCCTGCAAAGAGGAGGGAAGGGCTGTTGCCACAGCTAAGTGCCTCATCGCTCTTTCAGGGATGCTCTCCTCCTGCTCTGGAGCAACCTGAAATGACTGACCTCCAGAACAGGTTCTAAGGGAGTTTGTTGTAGAAAGACCTTGAAAAGCTGAGTATGGTGGACAAGGAGACATCCAGAACTAACGGAGGAAACCGGGTGGCTGTTGTGTTTCCCAGCTTAGCAGTAAGGCTGCTGTTGCTTCCTGGTATTTAAGGACTGTAAAGCTCAGGTTACCAAGACAATGGTGGAAGCAATCTGAAGAATCAGACTCTACCTCTGCTATTAGCTGAGGGTGGTGCCTTCTGAAGGAGAGCCCTGTGCATTTCCTGACAGGGATCTTTACTCTTGAGTCATAGCTGCCCATCCTTGCCTTTCTTAGGCCCTCTTGGTTTTCATTCCAGATTTGGCCGTGCAAATATCAGAAGAAACACCAGCAGATGTGATAGCCAGGAATATGAGGCAGCACAGCAGCGCAGGTAATGTTCCTGGCTGGGGGGTCTTAGCTGCAGTGGCATCACAGGAGTGAGCAGAATGCCCTGAATGTCTCCTGTTATATATGCCTTCAGTTTTCACCATCTGCAGAGGCTGAGCTGACACCTGCCTCTTAGGTTACAGTAAGGGGTATAGTTCTGAGCTTTGGGTGTGAAGGGAGCTTAGAAGGCTGGGGTCTGCCCTGCTTGATGGATCCTTCTGAAAGAGAACGAAACCCAGGTATGGAGTGCTCTCTGTCCACGTACAGTACTTGGCCTGAGACCTTTCAGTCTCTGGGTGTCTTGACAAAGTTTGGGGCTGTATTTGGGGCATGAGCAGCTAAGGTCACAGCTGGGTTATACTGGGAACAAAAGGAACTGTGCAAAAGGGAAGCAGGGGAGGGTGATGGGCTGTCCCCTGAGCTCCGCTCCTTGTGGCATGCATGCTCCGCTCCAAAGAGCAGCCCAGGGCTAAAAGACAAGTTTTCTCCTGCATAATAACAGATCTGTTCTAGAAGATGGCTACAATACAGGCAGGGTTGTTCCCTGCCTGTGGGCTTTGTGCGGCTTTCTCCTCCCTCATGATACACAAAGCCTTTTGTGGCAGTTGCTTGCCTAACTGCCAGTCCCTCGGCTGCTACAGTTCATGTTGTCTAATGTCACCATCTCTTTTCTTTCCTCTCCAAGGCTCTCCAACAAGCAGAGATTCCTCTTTCCAAGACACAGAGACTGACTCATCTGGGGCACCCCTGCTTCAGGTGTATTGTTAAAGAAAAGGACCCAAGCAGCAGGCAGGTGTTCCAAGGCTTTGCTGCAATCAGATTTCTCCTCTTTCAACATGGAGTGTGCTATGCCACTTTTTTTTTTTTCCCCAGCCTACCCTGATCCTGTGTTGAAGCCAAATTTCTCCTGCTGTCTGAATTTCACTGGATTTTTTTTTTTTTTTTGGACAATATAGAACATCAATGAAGTGAACTATGGAGCTGATGAAATTGGGAGGTGGAGTGTGTGCCCAGGGAGGAGAAGATGGACAAGGAAGTATCCGATAACTTGTGCCTCTATGATTTCCATACTTCATGTTTAGCTTCAACAACCTCAGTGGCCCAGCCCTTTCCCTGCTTTGAGGATCTGTTGTACAGTTCTTGCTTTCTGGCATTGCATAAGTTAACCTGGGTAGGGAATAACTGGATGGTGTCTCTGTGTTTGTGCCGGTGCTGAGGTGAAGGCCAAGCACCTGCTCTCTAGGGGCCCAAATCTCTATTTATAAATTGGCTGGCTTGGTCCCAAAAACATAAGTCCTCTGTCTGTGGTGTTTGCAGTAGCCAGATCTGCCTTCTTCCTGCTGCCCCTTAGTGGTGTCATCTCCTGCTGCCTTGTAGGGAGAGGGTTCAGGTAATGTGGTTTGTTTAACCTTTGGCCTCTTGGCGTGTCTCCCGAGATAGTGCCAACTGCGGGGGGGTGGGATGCCTGGACAGCCACCCCACTCTCGTCTCCCGAGCAGACCGTGGGGATCAGCTTTGCAGTCGCTGCCAGTCTGATGTGAACTGTGGGCCCAAGGTGTTACCAATTGCACGCGTTGACCTGCGACTTGCAAGCCAGTCGGCTCTTCCTCGCTCATCTGCCAAGCCCTCTGTGTTTCCCCGTCACGCTGACTGCTGGGGCAAGCCTTGAACTCAGGTTATGGCAGGTGAGGGGAACTAGTCGGTTCATTTTTAGGGTTTTTATAATTAAGAATTAACCTGTTCGACTATTCTGTTAGAAACTCCCTTAAAAGTGGCTTGTTTCGAAAGGAAAGCCTCCCCTGAGAGTGTCTCCAGAGGGTCTGTGAGGAACTGCTTGATCCTGCCTTTCCCCCGTGGGCATTCAGCGCCTTCTCCTTCCCTTTGCTCCTCTCTAACAGACGGTCAGAAGCAGAGATGTGGTATCGCTACCCCGAGGGCACGGAGCCAGGTGACCTTGAGGGCAGTGGCATTGCAGCAGGAGGAAGCTGTATCTTACTGGTGTTGCCACTTGGTTGTTTATCCTAACGTAGACTCCTGAAGCCATGGGACTTTGTTTAGACATTCGGGTGCCCTTGGACATGAATAGAAAATGCTTAGTTGAATTTACCAGCAATAGAATAAACACACCCACTGTTTTTTGGGGAGAGGGAAATGAAAATAGGCCCCATGCTTTGGTGTGGACCATGTTTTTGTGCCTTAATTGGACTAAAATGTGCCTTAATTGTACTGAAATGTGCCTTTAGTTCATAGCCTGTGATTACTCTTCAAAAGGTTGGATAGGGGGAAAGGATTGAACCTTCACATGAGCAGTCAGGCTTATTTAACTGGCCAAAGTCCTTTGAAATGTGCAGTTCAAGTCCCTGTTAGAGCCTGTTTTTGTGAACTGCTCGCATTTCAGAGCATGCTTTCATAAATCACACACATTACTGAGACCACACCTTGAGAGACTGACGGAGAGAGAGTTTGAAAATAAAGGGGAGAGTCTGAGACATGGATTTGGCTTCCCCTCCCTGCTTTGTGTTTAAAGCTGTCAGTTTGTAGAAAACCCTGTTTATGCAAGGAAGAGACTTGAAGCAAGGCCAGCCTGGGACTCCCAGAGGAGCTGTGTTTGGTCACCTCCTTCCGAATGCCACATGTACATGGACCCGTTTGGCTTCCTGCTTCTGAATGGATTTGTACATACGTATTTAGACAAGGTTACTTAAACCTGCGCACTGAGGCGTCGGCATGGGTCACACTGACACCGTAGCTCTGTGGTCTGTGCGCTGGCGCTTTGGAGACGAGGGGTGAGGATGGACTTGCAAAGAGCTGCCGATGGCCATTACAGACGAAATGGCACATTTTTAATGTTTAGTCTGTGTACGAAGAGTGAATGTGTATGGATTAAGCTTGCAAAAATACCCCAAAACCCCCCAAAAACTCACTACGAGGAAGACTGTCAACTCGATGGTCCCTGAAGCTGGTGCACTTGTGGTGTCTTACGGGATTCTTTTGCACTCCTTGCCCTTAAATGTCTGATTCGGTCTTTTTTATAAAGCAAAAGATGTGCTCTTTACCTGTGCTGTGTCTTTTACGTTGCTGCTTGCATCAGTTCGGGGAGAGCATCCCTCAGCAGAGGGAGCCTGGGCCAGGCGGGGGGCGGTTGCGTGGCAGGTTGCTGATCTCTGCTTTCCCAGCAGCACATGGACAAAGATATTTTTGTCCATTTGGCAGCGCTTGCCCATGCCCAGGGGGATTGTTCAGAGGGCTGAATGCCAGGCTGGTGCGTGGGACACGGGGTGCAAATAATGGAGCCTTTGGGGAAGTGCTTGGGTCCAGGGAAACCTGGACCTTCCCTGAGGGGCGATGCTGGACCTGAACTATGAAAAAACGGAGCCTGGGGGGAGAACTTCCAGCTTGTTCTCTGTGGTGTAGACACTTCTTGCTAGAAAATTCTTGCAAGAATTGCTCCGGAGCAGCTGCTGTCCCTGGTGGTGGGGCAGGACCCCTGGGGAGGGAGGCTGGCTCACTCTCTGACCCAGTGACTTGAAGGACCAGTTTTGTGCTAATTTCAATACAAAAACTCTGCAGATAACCCGCAGAGCTCCGTTCTCTGCTGCTGACCTTCCCTCGCCCTCCCCAGGCAGAGGACAGCAGGGAGGTGGGTCGTGGGTGGGTTTTTCCCCTCTGGTGCACAGGTTACCAACTCTCCTGGTGTGAGGTAAGAAGACGGGTGGTGTAAAGGATTGGCACTAACGCCTCCTCTTTTTTTCCTGTGAAGTTTGGTCTGTTAAGGACTCGAGATTCTTGCCTAGTCCGTGCAGACAGGCAGAAGACTGAGCCCAAGCTTGAGTCCTCCTGTTACATGGTCCCATGCCTGTTCTGTCCTGATTTTCTTAAATGAAGGCTGAATTCAATCCGGCTGGCCACCCTTTGACAGCAGGCAGCATCTGTGTGTGATGGATTTCTGGAAAGATTTTAAAGCTGTGAACAGGCAAATGCTTCCTTCTCTTGGCTGGGAAGGGTCTCCAGAGCAGAGGTTTTTGTGCCTGGAGCGCTTGAACCAGCTGGTTGAGGCCCCAGGGAAGCAGCAAAGGCTGCTGGCAGCAGCTTGCTGGCCAACGTCCAGCACCCTGTGCCGGGATGTGGCTGTGTCACTGCTGTCTCTGCTGTCCCCACCTGCTCCTAAGCTGCCCTGCTATTTCCCCCTGTGAGTCTGCACTGCGTTTTTCTGCCCTCTGCCTTCCCTTCCTCTCCAAATTTCTCCAGTGCTTTTCCTGGAAGAGGTAAGTCTTCCCTCAGCGCTTGCTCAGGCAGCTGGAGTGACCGAGTGGCTGTAACAGGCAGTTCTGCTTCTGCTTCTCTTGTGCACATTGAATCCCTGCAGAAAGACTGTTTCTGGAGGCTTTGGGTCCGATCGCTGCTCAGTGCCGCTCTGCTGGGTGCACAGCACGGGAGCTTGTCCCCTGCCCCAAAGCGCTGCTTCCTAACTAGCTGGCTGCTTCACAACTGCTGCTGCAAGGTCACTGCAATTTCTGGAAAGATTTGAAAAGTTTGCATTTAAAACTATGATGCTGTAGCCAATCTGTCTCTGCTGTCAGTTCTGTGTTCAGCAACTCTCCTGCTTTTGAGTTCGCTGCATGGATCATGGGTTTCATTGCTCGCAACCGCACGTGGAATGAATCCACAGGCTTTTTTTGTCTGCTGAAGGTTGTGTTTGCTGTCGATCAAGCTCTCTTGGCTGTTGCTGTAGTGGTTTTTGCTCTGAGCTTTAGTGTTGAGTGTTCTGCTGAGTGATCTGGCAGAAAGACTTGGTTGCCCAAGTGGAGATCTTACAAACCCAAGAGCCCTTTATCTAGCCCCATGCATGTAAACATGCTCTTTTCACGCAGGTACTTTCTTTCGGGAGCCTGACTCAGCATGTTTCTTTCCCTGAAGATGTTGTTTGATTTTATTTGGCTTGTTTTGCCAGGACACTCTCCAGAGGTTCAATGCTGTGCGTGGGTCCTCGCCATGCTGCAAAAGTGCTGCTCTTTAGTACAGCGACTTCGGCAGGATCAGACGTACTGCACAGCCCAAGCCACCCCGCTGCCTGCGGCTCCTAGGGTTCAGGTTAAGGAAGATCAGTAACTCTGCTGCGAATGGATGTGCGAGGCTTTGAGTGTTGAATTAATCATCTTCTCCATCCACATTCATTTCAGTGTGGCTTAGAAGTTAGAAAGCAGGTAGATTGACACTAATTCTTCACAGCCTGATCCTTAGCAGTAACAGAGGAGCTGTGGCTTCTCCTTAAAATAAGCAGTACTGTTAAATACCTAGTGCCTCCATTTCCCTTTTTAGGGTTTTGCTGTTTCGTTGCTCTTTCCAAAGCAGTCCTGCAGCCTGGGCCATTTCCCAAACGCTCTGAGCTGCAATATTCATTAATAAAAACTAAGCCAAGAGCTGGGTGCTAGAAAAAAACAGACCGAAGGGAAACTTTTAACATATGGCAAGCCCTCTGCAGAGCCTGCATGCCTTCAAGGTTTTGCTTTTAAAGGACGCGAGAAGGGGCCCAGCAGCGGGCGAGCCAGGGCCAGGCGGGTG